TACAAATTTATTTACCTTTTTATATTTTGAATTTTATTTAGCTCCTACGACACTGCCAGGAGAAAGATAAAAAATCACGTTCGCTTTGTCGCACTCATGGTATCGAAGTCGTGGACAACTCGTATGCCTATATAGATTATTTCGTTCGCTATTGTCAATGCGCATGCGTCTGTTATTGTATGCTCAATATCCATTGTTATTCTCAAAACGGTAAATACATATTAATAGGAACTAATATTTTTTCTTTGAGCCTAAAATGGATTTAAACGGATGCAAAGTAACCCTCATGTTCACCCCCAAATATAATATTTCCGTGATAACTCGGGTTCTAATAAATATTTTGGAATGAAACAAAATGGAAATTACTTCTTTTATAAAAAAAAACATTTATAGGCTTATGTAATGCGTCAGTTGAATGAACAGTATGACGATATTCCACCAAATAGAGATACACTCTGGGAACGCATACAAAATATTTGGAACGCTATAGACGTGAATTATATACGACGCCTTGTTACATCTATGCCAAACAGATTACAAGCCGTTATTGATTCGGATGGTGGTTGGACATATTATTAGACTGTTTTGTTTTCCATTGTTTATAAAATGATGTCAAAATAAGTAAATAAGTTCATAACACTATGGGCCCGGAAATGCTTCCTTTCTGATAGATGTAAAATTTAAAAAAATCCTGTTTTTCAAAATATTTCGAAAACGATTTAAGATATTACACTGAGCTTTGGTGTCTAGTACAGTGGCAGTGTAATATCTTAAATCGTTTTCGAGATATTTAGAAAAAAACGGATTTTGAAATTTCTTTCGACATTTATCTCAGAAAGGAAACATTTCCGGACCCATAATGTCATGAATTTATTTACTTATTTTCACTTCCAGAACACGTCCTTAAAATATTTCCCTTTCCTCCCGAAACTGTATGTTATAATAAAACTGTAATTTACAATATTTTTTTATTTTGTTGCCTTCATGACCTACCTACCTACTTTCTGCAGAATATGACACAAATCTTTATTTCAAAATATTAATTTTCTCAGGGACAAGAAAAATAATGTGGCAAGACAAAATAATTTCAAAACCTGTATACTCTTCTCTTTTTATAATGCATATACTTCAGGACTGCAATTTTTTGTTGTGTAATTACACACGTGCCTACACACAAAAAAATATGACACGCCCCTAATTATTGATGCCTCCCAAAATTTCTATTAATAGTCACCGGCTCGCCCCTTTAAAAGTAGTACCTATGGCTTTTAGGTTGGAAACCTTTATCTTGAGTCGAGTGTACATGTAGTGCAAAATAAATTGTAATCGTCCTGTTTATAGTAGTTACTGTTTTGTATTGAAATGTATATTATTTAATTAATAAAATCATAAATAAGTTTCGACAAAATGAAATTATTTTGACATTTGATTTATGTTCTAGAACGAAAAAGACTTTGGCGTTCTAGAACATAAAAATATTTTGCAGCTAGGTGACAAAAAAGACTCACTTTGTCAACTGAAAATTTAACGAAAATGCCGACTTTTGATGGCAGTTTTCGAAATATAACTATTTTGATTATGTTTTTAGCTAGGAAATATGTAACGTCTTTAATTTCTTTACCATTATAAAATCTTTGTCACGTCAATGCACTCTTCCATTATCCAAAACCATGACAATTAGAAGAAACAAATAGAGCTGTTATGTAAACATTAAGTATGAGCTATGAAATTTCAGTGTTCAAGTCGAATAGAAGTTGCACAAGAGAATGGTAGTACTTTTCTATGAAAGTAGGGACATTGAAGATAAATATGCTTAACGATAAGTTCCTATTGCCGACTTCCTCGCCTTCTCCTAAATTACATTTCTTAGGTATACGTAGGTGCATGGTATACCCGTTATGTTTGAGTTTTGAATTAAGTCCATCTACATGTCCATCCATATGTTGGACACTCGGTCGACATGGGGATTAGTTTGCGCCATTGTCTCCATCGAAATAATAAACGGGTGACGTAACACTATCTATTACAAGTTCGAACACTAAAGTATGGGAGCTGTTATACAAGTTATAAAAAAGGAACTAACGGCCACTGTCAGCCCTAGCAACCCGTTCACTACTTTTCTATCAAAACAATAACAATAATAATAACAATAAAAGCCACACGGCTACGGTTGTTTCATCAATTGAATGATGCAGTTGCTTCCCGGGCTTTCAGTTTTGTTTAGTTCGCAGGGGCGTTTCCCAGTGCATTTCTCTACCCCATCAATTTACCTTTTACCAAACATGACCATATAAGGAAGTGTTTACAAAAGTTAGATAATGATGGTCTTGAAACTTAGCCCTGAAGGTACTCTAAATATTTCTGTAACATAAACAAAAACAAGCCCTTCAACATTCCATCGACGGTGATAGTTCCTCAAGTGGCTACGAATTCATAAGCGGTTACAAGGGTGATGCCGACATATATTTTAGAAACGAATTAAAGTGGTCTTGTGATGAAGTTTGTTGTATCATGTTTAAATAATACTCTCTGATATAATTCCGAATATGAATGTCTACATTAATTAATCACCCGTACCTATCGCTTATGTTTATTAATTTTACTTAGTGTTTCATATTTACTACTTCATCCTTTACTTTCTTGATTGCGCGAAGCCGGATTTATATTATTCAAAATGTTGCATAATATATGTTGTAGGAGGTTCCAAAAATATTTTTACGAGGCGACAAGCGCTATTTNTGGGTTACACAGAAGTAGAAAATTTAAATATTATAGGAACTAAGATAGAGTAGTTAAGATATTCTCCATAGTTTATTTTAATTCCTAATAATATTTCAATTTTCTACTTCTGTGTAACCCATTTTAATTAAGTACTAATACAAACTGTCAAACAATAACAATGTTATCATGACATTACCAGCTGTTATTGTCACGACCTACCATATATAAGATTGTCCATGAGTAATTGGCCTCACACGGTCTAATTAGTGAGATTTACTTAAAATACCTTTGGATTATATCAATGTCCGATATGTCAAAATATATTACAACTAAATCTAAATCCTTACGTAATTGTAAAAAAGCAGAAATGCCGGAAAGATGTCTAACAATGATGTCCTATTTTCTTAATAAAAAAACCATTGTTTTGTTTTTTAATATTATCTCGCCTATTATTAGAGATGGACCCAACAAACCCTATATCTATGCTCGACAAGGAACGTTCTATCCAAATATGTAAAAATATACAGGGTATTCCATTTAAATGAACAAAGTTAACATCCGTGGCCGTTTTGTTTGAACTTCATTTGTTTTTCTACTATCATTTTCGAAAACTTCATAAACAATCGTGCAACTTTTGTATTTTACATTTTTTTATAACTCTTAAAACAAAAAAGTTAAAGGGGGGTCAAAATATAGTGAATCACCCTGTACATACATTAAAAAATAAGAATCATCAAAGTAAACTAAAGCCTTAAAAACTTAAAATAAATAAATCATAAGCTGGTAGAGAAACCACGTTAACCGCTCAGTTATTTGTCGAATTGAACGCATGAACGAAACGAACTCCAGTCAAGAACTTAAGACGCGCGTGATTTTTAAATTTACTCGATTTCTCGATTTCTCGACACTTTTTTCTCGTCTCGAGTAAGGCCAGATTTCCCGAGAATTCTTGCTTCGAGAAGTCTCGACCAGAAACCCTATGCATATATGTTGGTCACTCGGTCGACATGGGGATTAGTTTGCGCCATTGTCTCTGTACAAGTTCGAACACTAAAGTATGGGAGCTGTTATACAAGTTATAAAAAAAGGAACTAACGGTCTGCCACTGTCAGCCCTAGCAACCTGTTCACTACTTTTCTATCAAAACAATAACAATAATAATAACAATAAAAGCCACACGGCTACGGTTGTTTCATCAATTGAATGATGCAGTTGCTTCNTTGCCGACTTCCTCGCCTTCTCCTAAATTACATTTCTTAGGTATACGTAGGTGCATGGTATACCCGTTATGTTTGAGTTTTGAATTAAGTCCATCTACATGTCCATCCATATGTTGGACACTCGGTCGACATGGGGATTAGTTTGCGCCATTGTCTCCATCGAAATAATAAACGGGTGACGTAACACTATCTATTACAAGTTCGAACACTAAAGTATGGGAGCTGTTATACAAGTTATAAAAAAGGAACTAACGGCCACTGTCAGCCCTAGCAACCCGTTCACTACTTTTCTATCAAAACAATAACAATAATAATAACAATAAAAGCCACACGGCTACGGTTGTTTCATCAATTGAATGATGCAGTTGCTTCCCGGGCTTTCAGTTTTGTTTAGTTCGCAGGGGCGTTTCCCAGTGCATTTCTCTACCCTATCAGTTTACCTTTTACCAAACATGACCATATAAGGAAGTGTTTACAAAAGTTAGATAATGATGGTCTTGAAACTTAGCCCTGAAGGTACTCTAAATATTTCTGTAACATAAACAAAAACAAGCCCTTCAACATTCCATCGACGGTGATAGTTCCTCAAGTGGCTACGAATTCATAAGCGGTTACAAGGGTGATGCCGACATATATTTTAGAAACGAATTAAAGTGGTCTTGTGATGAAGTTTGTTGTATCATGTTTAAATAATACTCTCTGATATAATTCCGAATATGAATGTCTACATTAATTAATCACCCGTACCTATCGCTTATGTTTATTAATTTTACTTAGTGTTTCATATTTACTACTTCATCCTTTACTTTCTTGATTGTGCGAAGCCGGATTTATATTATTCAAAATGTTGCATAATATATGTTGTAGGAGGTTCCAAAAATATTTTTACGAGGCGACAAGCGCTATTTAAGAGTTTTGATATAAAATATATTCTTAAGTCATTCAGACGAATTACCACATAATTATGCAAATATAAACAACCATTATGGTAATAGGTTATTCACAGTATCCAGACACAACTAAAGAACATTGCAATCGATTAGAATAAAATATAGAAAATAAAACTACATTAATTTTTATAAAATTATATAATTTAATTTACAACATGTTGTTCCAAAGACAACAATTATCACGTTATTTAAATACTAATAGGTTCTGTAGATAGTAGACTGAGAACCTGGTAAAACGTTTCCAACTGGTTGGAAACCATTTTCATCAGCGATGTACTGGATTTGGACGAGTATCCCTTCAGGGGAGGTATATTGGAAGGAACCCTGAGCAGCAGTTCCGGCGTCGGGTCCCGAGTTACTAGGCTGGCCATTTTCTTGGGCTGAGATTCCATTTTCAGTGTCATAACTACAAATAAATAAATACATGCGGACGAATTAATACACTAATCGTATACAGGGTGTGTCTTTTAACACTTCCGCTGCCAAGATCTTCGAAATGAAGGAATTTATTTTAGTTGCGGAAACTGGGGTTGTTAGGTCCCTCGAATTGCTTCAAAACAAGTAAATATTGGAAAAAACTTTGCATTACAAAAATTACTCAACATTTAACGATCTTTCCGATGGACTGCATTTCCACGTTCCAAGGATTAAAAAATTTTATACAGAAATATTTGAACTACAGTTCTAACAGTTCTAACTGCAATTTGGAGCTATTAGAGGGACCTAACAACCCCAATTTCCGGAACTAAAATAAATTTCGGAGTTATTGGCAGCAGGAGTGTTAAATGGCACACCCTGTATATTCAGAAAACATAAATATCATCTAAAGTATACCTATAAATACAATATAATTGACATGACGAATATAAAGAATTAGCCTAAAAAGGGTATAACTAGTGTTTCAACACTGACCTATTTGAGCTTCACAAGAAACTGATGACCTCAACTGCAACATATGAAATATTTTGGATTGGCAAATTTGAGTTTTGAAAATAACCGAATGAGAAATGTGGAAAACGAAAAGTTACTAGTATTAAACGGGAGAACTGAATAGAAGCAAATATGTTGGTTTCCCCTTAAAATAAGTCTCAAATTAAAAAAATAATAAGATTTATTTTTCGTGCAGCACTGAAAGGAGATTACATAAAATTCATAAAAGATTTCAAAAATTTCAGTCAATATTTTAAACCGATACATTTATTTGATGCCAATTTGAGACAAGGAAATTAACTCGTTTGTTACATACATGGAAAAAGAAATACAACGCCTTGCATGTCAATAAAGGGGCATTTTATGATATATAAGTACTTATTTAAAGTTTTTTTTAGAATAACATGAGAAATCAGCTCCTTCAATACTTAGGAAGCACCTTGTATTTATTTATAAATAGAAATTGGTTGATTTTGTCACAGCCATTTTCGGCAATTTCAACAAGATTGCTATTCGTGTGAAATAAATTTTCCATTCTAATATGGAGTATACATTGTAGAAAACATTAGATAAAAAAAGTTACATTTCAAAATTTTGCTGGGAAAGATCGTAGCTCGCGAGCTCTACAAAATCACGAGGAATGACAACACTAACCATTTTAGCAACTTCAGAAACTTAATTGCGTCAAATTTCAATGAAATTCATTGTACTTGGAAAAAGATATGGTCAAATGTTAAAGAAGAAGAAACAATTGAATAAAAAATCATCATTACTTGTCTCAAAAACAGAAGAAAACGTGATCATTGTTCATAGAAACAAATTCTTTTGTTATGTGTTGTTCCTCCTTAATGTAGTACCTTTTTCAAGGCAGTTTGTATATTACAAAAAATATTTTTGCCAATTTGTATTCTAGGTCCTATAATTACCTTCTTTCAAGCTTTCAAAAAGGAAGAGCAGGCAATTAAATTTTCAAAAAAGAAAAAAACAAAACAGAGCTGATTTTACAACCATTTTTGTAAAACACTGGACTGCATACGTCATACTTACGCATATTTATAGCTACCATCAGGGTAGATGTCATTTTCTGAACGAAGAATAGCAACTGGTCTTTGGGTTACAGCTTTGTTGTAGTACTGTGGAGCTGCAAGCCCTGCCACTACGAAAGTGAAGATAAATACCTGAAATGATTGTAATTTTTTAAATATTTTTACTGATGAAAGACTGGATTATATAGTTATTTTTTGCAACTTTGAAACAAACTGCACACACAACTCACCAGTTTGATCATATTGTTCAGGTGCGTTTAAAGAACTAATCCACAATGATACAGTTCTTGAAAACTTTAGGTATTTATAGAAAAAAATTTGTTGCCTAATGTTACTGATGTTAATAGTCGAAACAATTCAGATGTTATGGATTCGACCCCCCCTTAATCACACAAAAGCGTCCGTGATTGGATCAAAACTACGTAACCGGGTAGGATTATTCATTAAATGTGTTCTTAATGGAAATTTTATGGATGTAAATATTATTCCTAAATCACCGTATATAAAAAATCAGATGGAATACGTTAAAAAATCAGATGGAATGCGTGGTAGGTAATGTTGCAAATATCGGGTGTTACGTATGGCACGAATTTAAATATACCAGGATATTTATTTTACATAAGGCACCTGTTTCGATCTATTGAATATTTAAACAAAACTACTTAAAATGGATTATCTTAAACATTTCATAACATACTTTAATATAATGCAATATTGTCACAAATGGTCAATGACATCAAAGTATTATAACCAATATTTTATGTATTCACAGAGAGTTCTGCAAAACAGGAAACAATATTAATAATATAATTCAAGGTCAATAATTTGCCATATCGGAGATGTTATTTTTGTTGAATATTAAAAGGCTGTATCATAAACTGTTATAGTGATATAAAAACTGTTAAGGCTTCTTTATGCAATTAATATCAGAGGGTTGTTTAAATTTAAAATAAAATTTATCTGAACAACATACACTTCCGATTTTAATTTGATAATTTTTAGTATACAGATTCGGGAGGTTTGAACAAGTAACTGACTGAAATTTCGAACCAGTTTGAAACAGAACATGAATTAAAGAATTAAAGTTAATTAGTGTGTTCAGGCCAGTGATGAGGTGAACAATTTCTTACTGAGATAATTTTCACTGACAAAAGACTGGGTTTATAATGTTTAAGTAAACTGCAAAGCTTACTATACGATTTTAACGCTTTTGGATGACTTTTTAAGGATTCACATATACGAGGTATGTTTAGAAAATAATCGAACATTTTGAATTACCCGCAAATGGAAATATTTAGTGATATGCGGTTGACAGCATTGCTTTGCATAACCTTCTCTGTAACCACATGTTGCACGGTGCTCCTGAGCGAATTGAAATTTTCGTGTCACTTCAAAATAATAAGATATCCTGTTTCTACAATACTTGAACATCATTTTAAGCCCTGAACCAAAATATTTGGTGTGGCGCTTTTTTTCCGATGGCAAAATAAGAAATTTGATATTTTTCATGTAGGTAACTATAAAAATTTTACTTCAAAAATCAAAAAGAGAGTTGTAAGTTATTTTAACAAAGTGAAAACTATTAAGCCAGTATATATATTAAATGTTTTATTCTTTTATATACACAAAATAAAAAGTATATTTATTATAATGGTACAAACATAATTTATAGCAAAATTAATAATTCAATCGTATAAAATTACAATCAATTTTCAATCAATCAGTTGAATAACGTACAACTAATAGATGACACGGCCTACATGAGAGGCATTGTAATCGCATATAGCAAGTAATAATTTCATAGAATATTCAGGGTGAATGTTTGATGCTTTGTATCTATCCCATATTTTTGAAAAATCTGAATATGAGGATTCTGTAGCTTGTTCGCTGTAATAAGCTAATCCTCTGTTTTTTTCCAAACAAAAATCTTTAACATGGAAAAAAATTTCATGGACTTTGGGGGTTACAGACGGCTATATCAAAATTCATATAACTTTTCCTGAATTCATTAATATGACTTACAAACTTTTCATTAAGTTCCAATGAAAAACAGCTGTTTAACAATTTTATTCAACTTTCTGGAACAATCAACAAACTTAGCACAATTTAAACACTTGAAATTGGCCAAAATGTCGACACAAGCAATGTTTAGTAAGCATTTCCTGTAAATGTTGGGCTTCCATAAGTACACTGGCACTGAACGTGTTGCATTTATTTGCCCATTGCAGACTTACTTCTTCATTCACTTTCTTCATGTGTCCGAATAACGTGTATTCAGTTTTTTCCATGTTAAAGATTTTTGTTTGGAAAAAACAGAGGATTAGCTTATTACAGCGAACAAGCTACAGAATCCGCACATTCAGATTTTTCAAAAATATGGGATCGATACAAAGCATCAAACATTCACCCTGAATATTCTATGAAATTATTACGTGCTTTATGCGATTACAATGCCTCTCATGTATAACCGTGTCATCTATTAGTTGCGTGTAAAAATACACTGAATCATTTATTCAACTGATTGATTGAAAATTGATTGTAATTCTATACGATTGAATTATTAATTTTGCTATAAATTATGTTTGTACCATTATAATAAATCTACTTTTTATTTTGTGTATATAAAAGAATAAAACATTTAATATATATACTGGCTTAATAGTTTTCACTTTGTTAAAATAACTTACAACTCTCTTTTTGATTTTTGAAGTAAAATTTTTATAGTTACCTACATGAAAAATATCAAATTTCTTATTTTGCCATCGAAAAAAAAGCGCCACAGCAAATATTTTAGTTCCGGACTTAAAATGATGTTCAAATATTGTAGAAACATGATAACTTATTATTTTGCAGTGACTTGAAAATTTCATTTAAATTCGCTCAGGAGTACCGTGGTTGATATCTCATATAGTTTTCGGAATATTGTTATTTGAATGCAACGTGTTTGTTTTTGAAATGTGCGATTTTCTTGAATAACCATGCAAAGTAAAATTAAGGATCATAAAGGGAGACGAAAGCAGGGTTTACGACGACGACATTGAGACAAAAGTTCAATCATCACATAGGATTGGTAAAGGACTTCCACGCCCCAAGAAAGCAGTCAGTCTCAAGCCAATGGCAAAGTGATTCTCACTGTTTTTCGACATTAATGGAAATGTGCATATTGAATTCTTGCCTCAAGATGAAATAGTGAACTGTGTGTACCAACAAGGCATTTTACAACGATTTCGTGAAAAAATTGCCAAAAAGAGACCAGAGTTGTGCCTAGACAACTCGTCGTTCTTGCACCATGACAGTGCGCCCGTATACTCAGCTTTGTCAATTCGTCAGTTTTGTTCCAAAAATCAGATTACTGTCTTTCCGCACCCTCTTTACTCGCCAGATCTGGCTTCTTGCCATTTTTTCTTATCTCCGAAATTAAAATCAGTGCTGAAAGGATTCCGTTTTCAGACTATTGATGACATCAAAGCAAATTCATCACGGACGTTAAAGGTCATTTCAAATATAACTATCCAGGACTGCTTCGCGAAATGAAAACACCGCTGGGAGAACTGTGTGAATAAGGGAGGGGAGAACTTTGAAGCAGACAAGGACCAATAACGTATAAAATTAATAATAAAGTTTAAAAAATAAAGCTCGGTTATTTTCTGAACAGACCTCGTATAGACGCTCAAAGGGCAAATGTGGGACCCGATTTTTTGAGTAGTTGTCATCGTGTGAGCGACGATATGATATGTAATATTCCTGCACCGCTAGTCATTTCTTTACTTTGCTATTGTACTGGCAGTAACTCCATAGTTCATAGTAACTCCATCGCACATTTGTAGAACGTAGAATGGTACGAATGTGCGATTGAATGAGTCATGGGTTTGGTTGGAACAGTTCACCGTGCCGCTATCGCATTATAACAGACATTTAGAGACTTCAAACAGTCATGTTTTATTTTTCTAGATCTCTCCTGATTACCCTATCAAAATTCCGTTAACTCGTGCACGTACCCCGCTTATATTGCACAATGTCATGCTCTTTAACGACAATGTCCTAAACCATCTCTTCTGCACCTCGCTCCCGTCATCGCCTTCACAGCACTCCTTCAGCTTGACCTTGGCGGACACCACCACTGCTGCTAGACACCTGGCGCCAGCTTCGGTTGGTTTGAAGTGAGTTCATTATTTTGTCTTTTGGCGTTTTTGGTTTCTCTATAGTGTCGAAAATGGTATCAAAATCTCTTTTGATTTAAGACAGTTACATAGAAAGTGTTTGGTATACAGGCTGCAAAATAAGTTACGTAATCAACTCTGGAGGATGGTAATAAAAATTATAAAAGTAGTCTAAATCATGTATCACATATTACTGCATCATTAAAACATATTTACTTCGTGGCTTTTTGTTCCATTTCATATTCCTTACTTCTATTTCCGGAACATGTCCCCACAAAGGAAGTAGATATTCCAGCAAAGTAAACAGTACTCTGCTGTAGCGTGTCTGTAGTTTGGAATCTGGAATTGTGGGGAGGGTAGCTTTCAAAGCACTTAGGCCCCATTGGCCCCCTTGTACCTCTTTCCATTAGGAGATTAATCCACCTGAGCCGTTAACCAACCTATTACAGAGAAAAAGGTGGTGACGTTGCTCAGGGGGATCTCTCTAATATAGGCCACAGAAAGCTAGTGCTCTCCCAACATGAACTCTCTTGTTGACGAGACGGCAGAGCATTCACATAGCACATGTAATACTGTCTCGTCTTCCTGTTCACAGCTTCTACAAAGAGGTGTTTCACACTTCCTCATGTTGTGAAGGTGTTTCCATAGCCATCAGTGTCCAGTTTGAATACATGTCACCAGGCGAAGATTTGACCTAGACATGGCCAGTTATTTTTTGGCTGTATCTTTGCTAGGATATTCTAAGAGCTCCTTAGCGAAAGGACAGCTATTTGTTTCATCCCACCGTTTCATAAATTCTTTGTTGGTGTTTTCCTTAATAATTTCAGCAAGTGCTGACAGCGGAAGCACACTGGAGGGACCGGGTCTAAAAATATTAAGGCCCGATGCACTCCTGGCTAGCTTGTCAGCTTCTATATTGCCATTGCACTGCTCGTGTCCCTAACATACAGATATGCTGTTGTGGAGGCCGAGGCCACGACCAGTGGTGGCATTCCCATAGTGTCCTATTTATTATCTTATGATTACGCAAGGTCAGTACTACTGACTCAGTAGTGCTTATCTACTATCTCTGTATATTCTGATGGATTTACCCGTAGTATGCCTGC